ATATTTTTTACTGGCAAATGAGGTTCCAATGGTGATTGTGTGCGGCTTAGGATTTCTCCCACGATTACTCATGGCCCGACTGGTATCACGTCCGAAGCGTGTTTTTATCTCGGTGGTAATTTGTCCGGGAGAAGGAACGCCGCGCGCGCGACCCCGTGCCCACTCCTGCCTCAATGGACGATAAACGTGTTCAACTTTGTTTTTGTTTGCTACTGCTACTGCTGCTACTGCTGCTGCTGCTACTGCTGCTACTACTGCTGCTGCTTCTGCTGCTGCTGCTGCTACTGCTGCTGCTTCTGCTGCTGGCTGCTGCTGCTGTTGATGGCTGCTGGCTGCTACTTCTGCTGCTACTGCTGCTGCTTATGCTGCTACTGCTGCTGCTTCTGCTGCTGCTGCTGCTGCTTCTGCTGCTACTGCTGCTGCTTCTGCTGCTACTGCTGCTGCTTATGCTGCTACTGCTTCTGCTGCTGCTGCTGATGGCTGCTGCTGCTTCTGCTGCTACTGCTGCTGCTTCTGCTGCTTCTGCTGCTGCTTCTGCTGCTGCTGCTGCTGCTACTGCTGATGGCTGCTTCTGCTGCTGCTACTGCTGATGCTGCTTCTGCTGCTGCTGCTACTGCTGCTGCTACTACTTTTGCTGCTACTACTGCTGCTACTACTGCTGCTGCTTCTGCTGATGGCTGCTGCTACTGCTGCTGATGGCTGCTGCTGCTGCTTCTGCTGCTGCTGCATTGACAGTGGTGAACAAGCACAGACCAACAACAGCAACACAACACACTCCACACATTCGTCAACAACATCTCCGCGGCCATGAAAGAACAAAAAAACTAACTAGACGTTTCAGGCAATGGCCCTTCACAGCACGTAGAGGCTAGAGACGTAGTCTCCGACAGGTGACCATGAAACGCTTTATCATACACCGGTTCTTTCGATCGATCAGTGGGTTGCGTTTATTTGTTCTCTATATACAGTGAGGGGAAAAAAATTAACCCGTAAAAACAAAGTTTTTCACTATAAATCCTTTATATGCGTGGCGGCTAGAGTCCTCTCGTCCTCTGGCTTGAGATGGCTGTCACCAATGGGTCAGATGATTGCCTGCCACCATTAAGCAATTGGTAATTAAATATAATTTATTTTTTCCTAAAAAGTGTAAAATTTTGGATTTTTTTTCACGAAAATACATTGTCACGCACAACGAGTCTGTGTGCAAAATGTCAGCTCGATTGGATCACGGGAAGTGGGTTAAAAAACGACCGAAAGATTTGCACGGTCGTCAGCGCGCAAGCAAGCAAGTGAACTTAATATAAAGGATTTAAAAAGTATTTGATCCCCTGCTGATTTTGTAAGTTTGCCCACTGACAAAGAAATGATCAGTCTATAATTTTAACAGTAGGTGTATTTGAACAGTGAGAGACAGAACAACAACAACAAAATCCAGAAAAACTCACGTCAAAAATGTTATACATTGAGTTGCATTTTAATGAGGGAAATAAGTATTTGACCCCCTCTCAATCAGAAAGATTTCTGGCTCCCAGGTGTCTTTTACACAGGTAACCAGCTGAGATTAGGAGCACACTCATAAAGGGAGTGCTCCTAATCTCAGCTTGTTACCTGTATAAAAGACACCTGTTCACAGAAGCAATCAATCAATCAGATTCTAAACTCTCCACCATGGCCAAGACCAAAGAGCTCTTCAAGGGTGTCAGGGACAAGATAGTAGACCCTCACTGTATACTGATCACAGGTGGACACAAACTAGATTCCAACTCAGCAAGGTGCTTGCTCAAAGCACCCCCGACAGCTTCCCAACTCGCTCCAGTCTCAAATGTTTTGTTTTATTTTTAACAACAGCAAAGACAAAAATTGGCACAAAATAACAGCAATCTGTTCATTTTTATTGGAAATGCTGCCCCGGGGAAAAATTGGCTTTGGGCCATCGTGCAAATTAGGTCTTTGTGTGTGTGTGTGTGCACGCGCGTGCATATTTACTAGAGCAGCCGTATCTTGTGTTGGGAGAAGCCGCCGATTTTGGCGTGACCCGATTTTTTGTTTTTCGCGTTTTCTCTCTCCGCTGTGTCGAGAGCGCGACCTGCGACACTTTCCCCAGCGTCTGCGATGCCGTCGAATTATCCGCCCTCCTCGGCAAACGGTGGCGAAGGTGCCAAGAAGGCGTGCGAATCGTTTCGTCGCTCTGGCAAAACACGGTTCCCACCCCTCTCGCCTCGGACCAGAGGTCGCAACCAGGTACCCGATACCCGTACCCTACCCGATACCCGGCTACCCGTACCCAGCCGGGTACGGGTAGGCCGTGAGTCACTGGTGAGTCACCGTTTGTCATTCATTTCGGGTAGGGTACGGGTAGGGAACGGCTTCCCGTACCCGGCCGGGTACGGGTACGGGTAGACCGTGAGTCACTGGTGAGTAGCCGTTTGTCACTCAATTCGGGTAGGGTACGGGTACGGGTACCCGGCCGGGTATCGGGTACCCATTTGCGACCCTGGTGCGGCCGGGTACGGGTAAGGAATCAAAACCCGTTTTCGACCTCTAGCCTCGTACTTTCTACCCGCGCGCCGTTACAGACGCGGGGATTAATTGGCTGCGAATGAATCAGTTTTTTCCCCACCACTTTTCCGACACGCGGCTGCAAGTCAGCGGGGCTTGGCGGGGCGTCCCCCCGTTCGCCGTATAGAATCTCGGGAGCGGTGCGAGCGGGCCCGCCGATGATTTTACCCGTCGCTCACCGCGGGGAAGCGACGTGACCGCTGGTGGCAAAACCGTCTTGCCCCCCCGCCCCCCCCGCCCCCCCCCCACCCTCGCACGTGGCCTTTGTGGGAACGTGGGTGCCGGTAAAGTTTTTGGTTTTATTTCAGCTTGTCTGCCCAGTTCCGATCGTGTACGCGTACATCTTCGGAAACGTGAACAGGCGAAGCGATGGTTCACAGACCGTTGGCAATCTACTAGCGGATAAAGCCCCCTCCCTCCTTCCCTCCATCCCTCCCCTCTCTACCCTCTTTAACACAGCAGTGCAATCCTCTCGTGCATCTCAACACTTTTTCGCTCCCTCCCTCTCCTCCCTCTCCCCTCTCTCCCCTCCCTCCCCTCTCACCCGCCTCTTGACGACATCAGCAATTGCCCTCCAGCATTGCAAATTTCAACTTTGGTGTCTGTCCTCCCATCCACCCCACGCACGCCACCCCACCCACCCCAAGCCACCCACCCCACCCACCCCACCACACGCACCCCACCCCACGCCACCCACCCAACCACACCCACCCCACCCCACGCCACGCTGGCTGAAAAATAAGTGAATGCCTTGGTACGCCTTGCCTGGTGAGGATATGGATGGTTGGTTTGCCTTTCTTGCATTTTGCGCTCCTCAGCCTTCGGTATAGTTGGAGTTTGTGTGTCTCTCTCTCATCATCATCACGGTGGCTGGGAGATGTTAACTACCTCGCCTGGTGTGCAGAAGGTCGTGGGTTCGATCCCGACCCTGACGACACCTGCTGTATATCTGGAATCTGCGTGTCTCTCTCTCATCATAATCATCATGACGGTGGCTAGGAGATGTTAACTACCTCGCCTGGTCTACAGGAGGTCGTGGGTTCGATCCCAACCCTGACGCCTGCTGCTGTATATTTAGAGTTTGCGTGTCTCTCTCTCTCTCATCATCATCACGGTGGCTAGGAGATGTTAACAACCTCGCCTGGTGTACAGGAGGTTGTGGGTTCGATCCCGACCCCGACGCCTGCTGCTGTTTATTCGGAGTTTGCGTGTGTCTCTATCGTCGCGGTCGCGTGGATTTTTCCTCCCCGTTCTCCCTTTCGCGTTCAGAATCGGCGTCACGCGTTCAGAGCGTTCGGCCGCAGTGAATGTCCTGAAGAGCCGTGACGTAGCCCGTTCGGGGGCCTTTCACCTTGGTGCGATGAAATGAAATAAGAAAGTTTCGATACTTTTAGTTGACAAAAATTCACGATCTCAGTGGCTCGGTACGCAGAGGCGGTAGTCATAACCACCCACCCTCCCACCCTCCCCCCCCCGCCACTGAACCACTCAATCAGTCACCGCCATCACTTTGCTGGACGTAATAACATAATGTGCCCGGCACATGAAGTGTCGTAATGGCCCTCCGAGTTCGCAATCGCATTATTATTTCCCTTCTACGTGAGTTTACCGACGAAAGAACCAAGAAGATGAATCCCTGCAGTCACGAAAGAAGCTTTACATCGAAGTTTTATTATGTTTTATTTTTATTATTTTATTACTTCCCTTCTACATGACTTTACCGAAAGAACCAAGAAGATGAATCCCTGCAGTCACGAAAGCTTTACATCGAAATTTTATAATGTTTTATTTTTATTATTTCATTACTTCTCTTCTACGTGACTTTACCGAAAGAACCAAGAAGATGAATCCCTGCAGTCACGAAAGAAGCTTTACATCGAAAGGTAAACAAGCCGACAGCGTACGCGTGCTTTGCGCGGCCGCATTGGCCCTCGGCCACAGCAAGCGGAGATTCCAGCTGCTGGAGGAGTTCCGCGGGGACTCCTCCAGCCAGCGCGTGCCACAGTTCCCGGCCTTCGTAGCCACCACCGCCGCTGCTGCTCGCTGACAACCCTTGCCCCGACGCTCTGTCGAGGCCCTACGGGGGATCTTTGTCTTTGCGCGGCGTGAGAATCCGGCGTGGAAGTTCGATTCCCCGCCGCCACCAGCAGCACCGCTGATGGCGATCATCCCGAACACCGGTTCCCTCGCTGGGTCGACTCAACGACATTTCGCGATTCATGCCAAATCTAAACGTCGGCGCTGGGGGGTAGGGAGACAAACGTCGGCCCGGGCGTGGTGGCCCCCCCCCCCTCCCGGTGTGTGCCACAGTGCCGGCCTTCGTCGGTGCTTTACCGCTATCGGTGGCACTCCACTGGGGGGGGGGTGAGTAGGCTTCGGCCCCGGTGCCGTGCCCGTCCGTAACATTCTCTCTCTCGTCTCCTCCCCCCGACCGCCCGCAGTCTCGGACTCCGGGAGCTTGCCGCGCGAGCCGGACTCACAGCCGAGGCGCCGCGGCGTTCCCGGCGTCTTCCACTTCCCTCCGGAGCACCACGGCGCCGGCGAGCGCCGGTTCGGCGGCGGCGGCGGCACCGGCCGTGGCGGAGAGACGCGCCCCGCCGGTCACGACTTGCCGCCGCGCTTCCAGCGGGAGAGGCGGCCGCCCGCGGAAGGCCGGCACTGGGTGGGCGAGGGGCGGGGGATGCAGCTGCACCAGCCGCAGCAGCAGCAGCAGCAGCAGCAGCATCAGCAGCAGCAGCATCAGCAGCATCAGCAGCAGCATCAGCAGTGGCACCGCGGACGTCCCGGCAGCGCGGAGGAGGAGCGAGGGCAGAGCCCCCGGAGGAGGCGGACTCATCGCGGGGGCGACGACGGTGACGACGGCAACGGCGACAGGAGGTACGTACCACGTGATACGTACCACGTGATACGTACCACGTGATACGTACCACATGATACGTATCACGTGTCACGTACCACGTCCAGCATACCACGTGATACGTACCATGTACCACGTGATACGTACCACGTGATACGTACCACGTACAATGTACCACGTACCACGTGATACGTACCATGTACCACGTGATACGTACCACGTGATACGTACCACGTACAATGTACCACGTACCACGTGATACGTACCACGTGATACGTACCACGTCCAGCGTACCACGTGATACGTACCATGTACCACGTACCACGTGATACGTACCATTTACCACGTGATACGTACCACGTGATACGTACCACGTGATACGTACCACATGATACGTATCACGTGTCACGTACCACGTCCAGCATACCACGTGATACGTACCATGTACCACGTGATACGTACCACGTGATACGTACCACGTACAATGTACCACGTACCACGTGATACGTACCATGTACCACGTGATACGTACCACGTGATACGTACCACGTACAATGTACCACGTACCACGTGATACGTACCACGTGATACGTACCACGTCCAGCGTACCACGTGATACGTACCATGTACCACGTACCACGTGATACGTACCATTTACCACGTGATACGTACCACGTGATACGTACCACGTGATACGTACCACATGATACGTATCACGTGTCACGTACCACGTCCAGCATACCACGTGATACGTACCATGTACCACGTGATACGTACCACGTGATACGTACCACGTACAATGTACCACGTACCACGTGATACGTACCATGTACCACGTGATACGTACCACGTGATACGTACCACGTACAATGTACCACGTACCACGTGATACGTACCACGTGATACGTACCACGTCCAGCGTACCACGTGATACGTACCATGTACCACGTACCACGTGATACGTACCATTTACCACGTGATACGTACCACGTGATACGTACCACGTACAATGTACCACGTACCACGTGATACGTACCACGTGATACGTACCATGTGATACGTACCACGTGATACGTACCACGTGATACGTACCACGTGATACGTACCACGTACAATGTACCACGTACCACGTGATACGTACCACGTGATACGTACCACGTGATACGTACCATGTACAATGTACCACGTACCACGTGATGCGTACCACGTGATACGTACCATGTACCACGTGATACATGACACGTACCACGCACCACGCGCCACATCTTCATCGTGCCGACATTAATAACTGAACACTCGCACGTTGATTTGGACGACGCTTCACGTCGATTCTAAATGCGGAGGGAAAATCCCCGCGACCACGGAGACAGACAGAGAGAGAGAGAGACACGCAGGCTCCAAATGTACAGCAGACGTCAGTGTCCGGGCCAAACCCACGACCTCCTGTATACCAGGCGAGGTAGTTAACATCTCCGTGCCACCGTGATGATGATGAGAGAGAGAGAGACACGCAAACTCCAAATATACAGCAGGCGTCAAGGGTCGGGATCGAACCCACGACCTCCTGCATACCAGGCGAGGTAGTTAACATCTCCGTGCCACCGTGATGATGAGAGAGAGACACGCAAACTCCAAATATACAACAGGCATTGTCAGGGTCGAGATTGAACCCACGACCTCCTGTAGACCAGGCGAGAGAGATAACATCTCACCGCTGCTCCCCTGCGTAACAACAATGAAGACAAAGATCCCCCATTTAGCCAAAACAGACTGTAGGGGCAAGTGCTCTTAGCAGGTAGCTTACCTATGAAGGCCGGATACGGTACACGAGGGGGTGAGTGGCCAGCACCACGCCCGACCGCCTTTGTCTCACCAGTGGCGATGTTCATACATCATACCGGGTACTCATTTAAGGCTGAGTCGACCTAGGGGAGGCTCAGGACAGGTTTGAATGATCGTCACCGGTGTTGGCCGTGAGCGGGAATCGAACTCGGGTGGCCAGGTTTGTAGCGCAGCGACACACACAGACACACAGACACACACACACAGACACACACACCACTCACGCACTCCCGCGCACACACACACAGACACACACACCATTCACGCACTCCCGCGAGCACACACACACACAGACACACACACACACAGACACACACACAGACACACACACACACGGACACACAGACACACACACAGACACACACAAACACACACCACTCACGCACTCCCGCGAGCACACACGCGCACACTGACACACACACAGACACAAATGTCCCCCGTATAGCCTTTAATAGACTGTTGGGGCAAGTGCTGTTAGCGAGCACCTATGAAGGCCGGAACGGTACACGAGGGGGTGGGTGGCCAACACCACGCCCGGCCGCCTTTGTCTCCCTAGTGGCAATGTTTACACACCGCACCAGGTACTCATTTGAGGCTGAGTCGACCTAGGGGAGGCCCGGACCGGTTCAGATAATCGTCACTGGTGTTGGCCGTGAGCGGGAATCGAACCCGTGTCGCCGGGTTCATAGCGCAGCGCGCTAACCGCTACACTACCGCACACACACAGACACACACACAGACACACACAGACACACACACAGACACACACAGACACACACACCACTCACGCACTCCCGCGAGCACACACACACACAGACACACAGACAGACACACACACCACTCACGCATTCCCCAGTGCACACACGCGCGTGCACCGACACACACAGACACACACACAGACACGCACACACACACACAGACACACACACCACTCACGCACTCCCGCGCGCCCACTGACATATGCACACTTAACATGCACGGGCGCTTCGCACACAAATGAGATTTTTTTTTTTAAAACACTAAAACCCTTTTTATTTTCGCCACTGAACGTAGAGCCCAGATATCGCACCGATTTTTTATTTCACTTCTAGATTTGAAGCTTTCGTTATTGCAAGTCTTCATATTCTTGGGTTTTTTCGGTAAAGTCACGTAGGTAAAAAATAAAAATTAATAAAAGTTATTTATTTTATTTCTGATTTCACGTCCCACAGCCGCGGACCAAAGCAGCCGAACCCGTTGAGGACGTTCATTTAATTTAGTTTCGCGTCTGAATTTTCTGTCTCTCTGAAGAGCTTTTGCGCGAAAAAGCTCCAGCCGCAAACACGCGTGCGTTTGTCGCGATGGTGCTGCCGCGAACCCCGGCCACCCGAGTTCGACTCCCCGCTCACGGCCGACGCCGGCGACGAATCATCCCAACCGGTCCCCTAGGTCGACTCGGCCTCAAATCCGCACCCGGTGCGGTGCGCCAGAGGTCGCAAACGGGTTTTGATTCCTTACCCGTACCCGTACCCGGCCGCACCAGGGTCGTAAACGGGTACCCGTACCCGTACCCGGCCGTACCCTACCCGTACCCGGGTACGGGTAGGGTACGGGTATCGGGTACCCTATTGCAACCTCTGGGATGAAGCCATGTTGCAGGCGCGGGTGGGTTGATTCTAGGAACTTGAATTGTGAGAAGAGACAAGACGTTGGGAAATGAGTGACAAACGGTGACTCTTTCGATTTAATAAAATAATTCTCACGACGTTTCGGCCACAACGCAAAACCAGACCTGGTTTTCACCTGAGGACGGCTGCTTGCGTTGTGGCCGAAACGTCGTGAGAATTATTTTATTATGTTTTATTTTAATTTTTTTATTACTTCCCTTCCACGTGACTTTACCGAAAGAACCAAGAAGATGAAACGGTCACTCACCAGTGACTCACGGCCTACCCGTACCCGGCCGCACCAGGGTCGCAAACGGGTACCCGGTACGGGTAGCCGGGTATCGGGAAGGGTACGGGTATCGGGTACCCAGTTGCGACCTCTGGGGTGCGGCAAAAACATCGCCGGCGGGGAATTGCAGCGCTTGCCCCAACGGTCCGTTGCAAGTCCATCGCGGGCGGGTGTGGGTTGGGGTGTGGGTTGGGGTGTGGGGTGTGGGTTGGGGTGTGGGTGTGGGGTGTGGGTTGTGGGTTGGGGTGTGGGTTGGGGTGTGGGTTGGGGGTGGGTTGGGGTGTGGGTTGGGATGTGGGTTGGGGTGTGGGTTGGGGTGTGGGTTGGGGTGTGGGTTGGGGTGTGGGTTGGGGTGTGGGTTGGGGTGTGGGTGTGGGGTGTGGGTTGGGGTGTGGGTTGGGGTGTGGGGAGTGGGTTGGGGTGTGGGTTGGGGTGTGGGTTGGGGTGTGGGTTGGGGTGTGTGTTGGGGTGTGGGTTGGGGTGTGGGTTGGGGTGTGGGTTGGGGTGTGGGTTGGGGTGTGGGTTGGGGTGTGGGTTGGGGTGTGGGTTGGGGTGTGGGGGTGTGGGTTGGGGTGTGGGTTCGGGTGTTGGTTGGGGTGTGGGTTGGGGTGTGGGTTGGGGTTTGGGTTGGGGTGTGGGTTGGGGTGTGGGTTGGGGTGTGGGTTGGGGTGTGGGGTGTGGGGTTGGGGTGTGGGTTCGGGTGTGGGTTGGGGTGTGGTTGGGGGTGTGGGTTGGGGTGTGGGTGGGGTGTGGGGTGTGGGTTGGGGTGTGGTTCGGGTGTTGGTTGGGGTGTGGGTTGGGGTGTGGGAGTGGGTTGGGGTGTGGGTTGGGGTGTGGGTTGGGGTGGTGGGTTGGGGTGTGGGTTGGGTTGTGGGTTGGGGTGGGGGTTGGGGTGTGGGTTGGGGAGTGGGTTGGGGTGTTGGTTGGGGTGTGGGTTGGGGGTGTGGGTTGGGGGTGTGGTTGGGGTGTGGGTTGGGGTGTGGGTTGGGGAGTGGGTTGGGGTGTGGGTTGGGGTGTGGGTTGGGGTGTGGGGTGGGGAGTGGGTTGGGGTGTTGGTTGGGGTGTGGGTTGGGGTGTGGGTTGGGGTGTGGGTTGGGGTGTGGGTTGGGGTGTGTGTTGGGGTGTGGGTTGGGGTGTGGGTTGGGGTGTGGGTTGGGGTGTGGGTTGGGGAGTGGGTTGGGGTGTGGGTTGGGGTGTGGGTTGGTGTGTGGGTTGGGGAGTGGGTTGGGGAGTGGGTTGGGGTGTGGGTTGGGGTGTGGGTTGGGGTGTGGGTTGGGGTGTGGGTTGGGGTGTGGGGTGTGGGTTGGAGTGTGGGTTGGGGTGTGGGTTGGGGTGTGGGTTGGGGTGTGGGTTGGGGTGTGGGGTGTGGGTTGGGGTGTGGGGTGTGTGTTGGGGTGTGGGTTGGGGTGTGGGTTGGGGTGTGCGTTGGGGTGTGTGGAGTGTATTTTGTCTCCTGTAACGTGGCGACGCTTCTCCCTGCGGCAGGCCGAGTGCGAGGCGGCCGCTGTGGGGGGGTGGGAGGAGGAGCGGTCCGGCTGGAGTGGGGCCCAGTTGGACAGAGGCCACAGGAGGCGTCAGGTGACCTCCGTGCGTGTGAGCGTGGGAGCGTGCGTGCGTGTGTGTGTGAGAGCGTGTGTGTGAGTGTGTGAGCGTGTGTGTGTATGTGTGAGCGTGTGTGTGTGAGTGAGCGTGTGAGCGTGTGTGTGTGAGTGTGTGAGAGCGTGTGTGGTGAGCGTGTGTGTGAGCGTGTGTGTGAGTGTGTGGTGTGAGCGTGTGTGTGTGTGTGAGTGTGTGAGTGTGTGTGTGAGTGTGAGCGTGTGGTGTGGTGTGTGTGAGCGTGTGAGCGTGGGTGTGTGAGGTTGTGTGAGCGTGTGTGGGTGAGCGTGTGTGTGTGAGCGTGGGAGCGTGCGTGTGAGCGTGTGTGTGTGAGTGTGTGTGAGCGTGTGTGGTGTGTGTGAGCGGTGTGAGAGCGTGTGTGTGAGCGTGTGTGTGTGAGTGTGGTGAGAGCGTGTGTGTGTGTGAGTGTGTGAGAGCGTGTGTGTGAGCGTGTGTGTGAGCGTGTGTGTGTGTGACCGTGTGTGAGCGTGTGTGTGTGTGAGCGTGTGTGTGTGCGTGCGTGTGTGTGTGTGTGTGAGCTGTGTGTGTGTGACCGTGTGAGCATGTGTGTGTGACCGTGTGAGCGTGTGTGTGTGAGCGTGTGTGTGTGTGAGCGTGTGTGTGAGCGTGTGCGTGTGCGAGTGCGTGTGTGAGTGTGTCTGAGCGTGTGTGAGCGTGTGTGTGTGAGCATGTGAGCATGTGAGCGCGTGTGTGAGCGTATATAAGCATGTGAGCGTGTGAGCATGTAAGCGTGTGTGTGTACGTGTGTGGCCGGGTAGCGTGCGGAGCGGTGATGCAGCAACGCGTGCGGTGATACCCGTGACCCCGCATGACCCCCCCCCCCCGCGTGACCCTGAATGACCCCCGCGTGACCCCCGCGTGACCCCCGCGTGACCCCAGGGACCCTCCGTGGGGCCGAGCGACGACTTTCCCGCCCTCTGGCACAACGGAGCGGCGGGACGCGGCGGCGGCGTCGGCGTCGCCCGGCCCCCCCCGGCAACCCCAGGGCCCCCCACGGCAACCCCGGGGCCCCCCACGGTAACTCCAGGGCCCCCCACGGCAACTCCAGGGCCCCCCACGGCAACGCCAGGGCCCCCCACGGTGGAACCGACGCCCGCCAGGGCCAGGCGCACAGGACCCATCAAGCCCCCGCCGGGTCCTCGTCCACAGGGGCAGCACTTGCACGCCGGTGAGGGTCGCGGGTTTGGCGCGAAGTGGCGCTTGGGCGGTCCTGGGCCTCCCCTAGGTCGACTCGGCCTCAAATGAGTACCCAGTGTGGCGGTAGTGTAGCGGTTAGCGCCACGCTGCGCTATGAACCCGGTGACCCGGGTTCGATTCCCGCTCACGGCCAACACCGGTGACGATTATTTAAACCGGTACTGCGCCTCCCCTAGGTCGACTCAGCCTCAAATGAGTAGCTGGTGCCGTGTGAAGTAAACATCGTCACTAGGGAGACAAAGGCGGTCGGGCGTGGTGCTGGCCACCCACCCCCTCGTGTGACGTGCCGGCCTTCGTAGGATCAGCTAGCTGACAGCACTTGCCCCAACAGTCTGTTAAGGCTACACGGGGGATTTTTGTCTTTTTTGTGTGAGGAGTGGTGGCGCAACGATTAGCACATTCCCATGCGAATCCAACCACCTGAGCTCGACCAGGCAGCCACGGCTGCCATCAGTGGCGAGCGATTCCCTGAACCGGGTCCCAGATCTCTCCATAAAGTTCAAAGTTCAAAGTTCATGTATTAGGTATAGCCCTGTGAGCCATTCGGCTCTTGAATCGGGTGCAACCGCAACAAGCAAAAAAACAAAAACATGAACAAAAAACATCTTCAAGTGAATATGTGACTGAGTGCAAACAGAAAATCCAAGAAAGGACAGCAAAATATTGCGGGAAAAAAAATCACCGTACACCAACGCTGTGTGAGTTGGGTGTGAAAAACGGTAACCGAAATATGATTCGGCGGTTTCCGTTCCTCGGTTTGAAACAAAACAAAAAAAATTAACTCGTAAAAACAAAGTTTTTCACTCGAAATCCTTTATATGCGTGGCGGCTAGAGTCCTCTCGTCCTCTGGCTTGAGATGGCTGCCACCTATGGGTCAGATGATTGTCTGCCACCATTAAGCAATTGGGAATTAAATATTTAAAAACATTTCCCTAAACAGTGTAAAGTTTTGGGAAAAAAATTTCACGGGAAGTGGGTTAAAAAACGACCGAAAGATTTGCACGGTCGTAAGCAAGCAAGCAAGCAAACTTAATATAAAGGATTTAAAAAGAAAACGCATCTCGGCTCTGTTTTTAAATCGCGGTTCACCAACTGTGACAAAACTAAAAAATATAGTAGTAGGTTTTTACCCTTTAAACTGGTACAAAACTGCCACCTTTATACAAGGCATCATGTTTGCAATAACCACAACACAAGCAGTCAAAATGCAAACAAAAAGAAACAACTCTGATGATGGTTATCAGAGTCGTTTCGCCTCCCTTGCCGAGAGCGTGCACCGGTGATATGGACCTGCGTCCGCTCAGGCCCCCCACCACCACCCCCCCACCCATCACCAATCCCCCCCCCCACCACCCCCCCCAACACCCCCCAACCACCACCCACTCACCACCTACCCCCCCACCACCCCCCACCACCCCCCCCAACACCCCCCAACCACCACCCACCCCCCCCCCACCACCACCCACTCACCACCTACCCCCCCACCACCCCACACCACCCACTCACCACCCACCCCCCCCACCCCCCCCCACCACCACCCCCCCACCACCACCCCCCCACCACCCCCACCACCACCCCACCACCACCCACCCCCCCACCACCCACCCCCCCACCACCCCCCCACCCACCCCCCACCACCCCCCCCACCCCCACTCACCACCCCACCACCCCACCCCACCACCCCCCCCACCACCACCCACTCACCATCCACCCCCCCACCCACCACCCCCCCACCACCACCCCCCCCCCACCACCCCACCACCCCACTACCACCACCACTCCCCCACCACCCACCCACCACCCCACCACCACCACCCACCCACCACCCACCACCACCACCACCCCCCCAGGTGCCTTGGGGAAGGTGGGGAGAGGTCTGCCGCCTGCCAACGCGCCCTTTAATTGCCGCCTTTGCTCCGCGTGACTTCTCGACTTTAATAAGCGCCGCACCTCCCCCCCCTTGCCCCCAATACCCCCCCACCCCCCCCCCTTGCCCCCCAATACCCCCCCAATACCCCCCCACCCCCCCCCTTGCCCCTCCCCCCCGTCCTTCTTGCCCCCCCCCCTGCGTGTCTCTCGTCAATGACACCGTAGGCGACTTTGAAGGGAGATAAATCCAAGACGTTTTAGTCTGGGCGGTCATCAGGCGAAGAGCGGGGGGTGGGGGGGAGGGGGGAGGGGATTGTCCCCCCACCCCCCTTCACCCCCCCCCCCCACCTTGATATTTGAACATTGCAATATAAATACATTAATGCGTTCATCATTCCGAGCGCCGGGATGTAGCTCGGGTGACTCGGGGCGCTGCGCTCGACGCCGTGAGGTTCGAATCAAGTCCTGGGTTGACTTGTCACTCGTTGTCGTTAGCAGCGTCATCATCATCAGTGACATCATCATCAGTGTCATCATCAGTGTCATCATCATCAGTGTCATCATCAGTGACGTCATCATCAGTGTCATCATCAGTGTCATCATCATCAGTGTCATCATCAGTGTCATCATCAGCGTCATCATCGTTATCAGCGTCATCATCATTATCAGCGTCATCATCAGCGTCATCATCAGCGTCATCATCATCATCAGTGTCATCATCAGTGTCATCATCAGCGTCATCATCGTTATCAGCGTCATCATCATTATCAGCGTCATCATCAGCGTCATCATCAGCGTCATCATCATCATCAGTGTCATCATCATCAGTGTCATCATCAGCACAATCAGTGTCATCATCATCATCAGTGTCATCATCATCATCAGCGTCATCATCATCATCATCAGTGTCATCATCAGCACAATCAGTGTCATCATCATCAGTGTCATCATCATCAGTGTCATCATCATCAGTGTCATCAGCACCATCAAATCTAGAACCATCATAAGCACCATCAGCGTCAGCATCATCATCAGCGTCATCATCAGCGTCATCATCAGCGTCATCATCAGCGTCATCATCAGCACCATCATCACCACCGCCAGCAACCAATCGGCACCGCCATCCCACCGTGCGTTTGCTCGCTCCGTCGGCCCAAACGAAGGCAACTTAACGCAACGGTTATCAGCAGGCGTTTGTTTGCGGTGATGTTTCACGGCGAAGAGATGCGCGCGCATCGGAGCGACGTGGAGACTTTCTGTCCCACCGCGCCGATGCTTCTCCCGCGCTTGCCGCTCTAAATGCGCGCGTCGTTGTAAACGCGACAGCGTCAGAGGCTGAAACAAACGCACGGTGTTTATTGTGAGTGGCGGGTGAGCGTGAGCGGATGACGGGGAGCTCTGCATGCTGATACGAGCTACCCGTCGGAGGCCGTCGGACTGCGAGAAGGGCTGCGTGCAGAACGAGAGTGAGCGAGAGAGCGAGCGAGAGAGTGAGCGAGAGAGTGAGCGAGAGAGTGAGCGAGAGAGTGAGCGAGAGAGCGAGCGAGAGAGTGAGCGAGAAAGTGAGCGAGAAAGTGAGCTAGAGAGTGAGCGAGAGAGTGAGCGAGAGAGTGAGCGAGAGAGTGAGCGAGAAAGTGAGCGAGAAAGTAAGCGAGAAAGTAAGCGAGAAAGTGAGCGAGAAAGTGAGCGAGAAAGTGAGCGAGAGAGCGAGCGAGAGAGTGAGCGAGAAAGTGAGCGAGAAAGTGAGCTAGAGAGTGAGCGAGAGAGCGAGCGAGAGAGTGACCGAGAGAGTGAGCGAGAGAGCGACCGAGAGAGCGAGCGAGAGAGCGAGCGAGAGAGCGAGCGAGAGAGCGAGCGAGAGAGCGAGCGAGAGAGCGAGCGAGAGAGCGATCGAGAGAGTGAGCGAGAGAGCGACTGAGAGAGAGTGAGCGAGAGAGTGAGCGAGAGAGTGAGCGAGAGACCGAGAGAGCGACCGAGAGAGCGAGCGAGAGAGCGAGCGAGAGAGCGAGCGAGAGAGCGAGCGAGAGAGCGAGCGAGAGAGCGAGAGAGCGAGCGAGAGAGCGAGCGAGAGAGTAAAGTAAAAAAAATACGAAAAGATGAACGAAGCAAAGTGCCGACTACACCGAGCATCTTCTTGTTTCCACTGATCGTAAAAAAAAGAGGGAGGGAGGGAGGGAGAGTGGCGTTTTCCTCGCAAGTCTCTGTAAGCGGCGCTCACCGCAAGGCCTCTGTCAGTGGCACCAGCGTCTGTCGGGGCGAAAGCCTCCTCCACCATGTCCACCCCCTTCTCTCTCACCTCTGTCCACCTCACCGCGTGCTCCTCACCCCCTCACCGTGTGGGAACGGAAGAGCCCTCACGGCTCATCGGATTCCTCCGCTGTGAACAAAGTTTCAGATTTGATTCACGTTCGCTTCTCCAGTGGAGAGTGTCCATCCTCCCCCCCCGTCCACCCCCTCTCTCTCTCCCCTCTGCGTGCGTATGTTTGCCGTACCTGTATGTCTGTTGTGCACACGTGTTTGCACACGTGTTTGTACGCATGTCAGAGGTCGCAAACGGGTTTTGATTCCTTACCCATACCCGTACCCGGCCGCACCAGGGTCGCAAACGGGTACCCGTACCCGTACCCGTCTGGGTACGGGTAGCCGGGTATCGGGTAGGCTACGGGTATCGGGTACCCGATTGCGACCTCTGGGATGAAGCCATGTTGCAGGCGCGGGTGAGTTGATTCTAGGAACTTGAATTGTGAGAAGAGACAAGACGTTGGGAAATGAGTGACAAACGGTGACTCGCCAGTGACTCACGGCCTACCCGTACCCGGCCGCACCAGGGTCGCAAACGGCTACCCGTACCCGTCTGGGTACGGGTAGCCGGGTATCGGGTAGGGTACGGGTATCGGGTACCCGGTTGCGACCTCTGGGATGAAGCCATGTTGCAGGCGCGGGTGGGTTGATTCTAGGAACTTGAATTGTGAGAAGAGACAAGACGTTGGGAAATGAGTGACAAACGGTGACTCGCCAGTGACTCACGGCCTACCCGTACCCGTACCCGGCCGCACCAGGGTCGCAAACGGCTACCCGTACCTGGCCGGGTACGGGTAGCCGGGTATCGGGTAGGGTACGGGTATCGGGTACCCGGTTGCGACCTCTGACGTTTGTGTCATTGTTGCACGGTACGCATGATGAACTTCTTTTGCACCCTACGTAGCCGGCCGCGCTCACCAGAGGTGCGCTGCCAAGGCGCAGGAAACTGAAAACACGACAAAAACACAACTCTGATGATGTATGCACTGTCCTTGAAGTTGATTGGTCCACACCCGAGACAGCTTTCCTTAGAGCCTAGTCTCACATGGTGTTGGACCAGATGACGCCAAAAGGCGCACAACTCAAAGACAATGCACCATCAGAGTACGAGAGCTCGGGGTAAGCATTTACACCATTGCAACCTCATTTGCCAGTAAAAAATATATGATAATTGTTTTTTTACCCTTCTATCTGGCAACAAAACTGACACCTTCGGCTCTAAGGAAAGCTGTCTCGGGTGTGGACCAATCAACTTCAAGGACAGTGCATACATTATCAGAGTTGTGTTTTTTGTTTGCATTATGACTGCAGGTATTGTGGTCAATGCAAACATGACTCCTTGTAAAAAGGTGTCAGTTTTGTTGCCAGATAGAAGGGTAAAAAACAATTATCAAGATGAACAGGAATAGCGTGATGATGCTTTATAAAGACGACGATTTACGCTCCTTGACGCGACCAGCGAGCTCCCTTCACCCGCCGGCTACCGTTCGTCCCACCGTCAGCCACCTCGCCTCACCGCGTGTTCCTCACCCCACCCGCCCCCCCCACCCTCCCCCTCACCGGGTGAGCAGGCGCGGCAGCTCCCGGCGTGCCGATCGAGCCGTCGGAAGGACCCCACGGGAGGAGTGGCGGCTCACTGAGGACGGGGGACCCGTGCCTGGCACTCTACTGGGAGGACAACAAGGTTAGTGCCGATTTAAAGCTTCTTTCGTGACTGCAGGGATTCATCTTCTTGGTTCTTTCGGTAAAGTCACGTAGAAGGGAAGTAATAAAATAATAAAAATAAAACATAATTAAATAATTCTCACGACGTTTCGGCCACTCACACAGAGACCCACACACTCACACAGAAACCCATAGACTCACACAAAGACCCATAGACTCACACAAAGACCCATAGACTCACATAGAGACCCATAGACTCATACAGAGACCCACACACTCACACAGAGACCCACACACTCACACAGAGACCCATAGACTCACACAGAGACCCACATACTCACACAGAGACCCATAGACTCACACAAAGACCCATAGACTCACATAGAGACCCATAGACTCACACAGAGACCCACACACTCACACAGAGACCCATAGACTCACACAAAGACCCATAGACTCACATAGAGACCCATAGACTCACACAGAGACCCACATACTCACACAGAGAACCATAGACTCACACAAAGACCCATAGACTCACACAAAGACCCATAGACTCACATAGAGACCCATAGACTCATACAGAGACCCACACACTCACACAGAGACCCACACACTCACACAGAGACCCATAGACTCACACAGAGACCCACATACTCACACAGAGACCCATAGACTCACACAAAGACCCATAGACTCACATAGAGACCCATAGACTCACACAGAGACCCACACACTCACACAGAGACCCATAGACTCACACAAAGACCCATAGACTCACATAGAGACCCATAGACTCACACAGAGACCCACATACTCACACAGAGAACCATAGACTCACACAAAGACCCATAGACTCACACAAAGACCCATAGACTCACATAGAGACCCATAGACTCATACAGAGACCCACACACTCACACAGAGACCCACACACTCACACAGAGACCCATAGACTCACACAGAGACCCACATACTCACACAGAGACCCACAGACTCACACAGAGACCCACAGACTCACACAGAGAACCATAGACTCACACAGAGACCCACATACTCACACAGAGACCCACAGACTCACACAGAGAACCATAGACTCACACAGAGACCCACATACTCACACAGAGACCCACAGACTCACACAGAGACCCACAGACTCACACAGAGAACCATAGACTCACACGGAGACCCATAGACTCACACGGAGACCCATAGACTCACACGGAGACCCATAGACTCACACAGAGACCCACAGACTCACACAGAGACCCATAGACTCATACAGAGACCCACAGACTCACACAGAGACCCGTAGACTCACACAGAGACCCATAGACTCACACAGAGACCCACATACTCACACAGAGACCCACACACTCACACAGAGACCCACAGTCTCACACAGAGACCCACAGACTCACACAGAGACCCATGGACTCACACAGAGACCCACAGACTCACACAGAGACCCATAGACTCACACAGAGACCCATAGACTCACACAGAGACCCATAGACTCACACAGAGACCCATAGACTCACACAGAGACCCACAGACTCACACAGAGACCCGTAGACTCACATAGAGACCCATAGACTCACACAGAGACCCACATACTCACACAGAGAACCATAGACTCACACAAAGACCCATAGACTCACACAAAGACCCATAGACTCACATAAAGACCCATAGACTCATACAGAGACCCACACACTCACACAGAGACCCACACACTCACACAGAGACCCATAGACTCACACAAAGACCCATAGACTCACATAGAGACCCACAGACTCACACAGAGACCCACAGACTCACACAGAGAACCATAGACTCACACAGAGACCCACATACTCACACAGAGACCCACACACTCACACAGAGACCCACAGTCTCACACAGAGACCCACAGACTCACACAGAGACCCATAGACTCACACAGAGACCCACAGACTCACACAGAGACCCATAGACGCACACGGAGACCCATAGACTCACACGGAGACCCATAGACTCACACAGAGACCCACAGACTCACACAGAGACCCGTAGACTCACACAGAGACCCATAGACTCACATAGAGACCCATAGACGCACACAGAGACCCACAGACTCGCACAGAGACCCACAGACTCGCACAGAGACCCACAGACTCACACAGACTGACAGAGAGACCCACAGACTCACACAGAGACCCACAGACTCACACAGAGACCCACAGACTCACACAGAGACCCATAGACTCACACAGCGACCCATAGACTCACACAGACTCACAGACTCACGCAGAGACCCGTAGACTCACACAGAGACCCACAGACTCACATAGAGACCCACAGACTCGCACAGAGACCCACATACTCACACAGAGACACCACAGACTGCCCCCGCACCTCCAATCGGCACAGTTGGGGCTAAGTACGGTGCAAAAGAAGTTCAACGTCATCACTCTGACCTCGGATGTATAGGCAAGGGGGGTGGAAGTGCCGGAAATATTTTCCCCGACCAATTATAACCAGGCACGGGGGAACTCCGCGGAGTAGTGTGACATTTCGCGGGCAACTTGTAAAGACAGCGACCACGTTGTTAATGAGACGCTAACATACGGAGGGGGGCGACAGGGATGACAACGTTGACTGATTGAACGGGTTAGACGCGTGAGTGCTCGTAGTGTGTGAATGTTGCGTCGTTAAACCCGCCACCATCCGGAGAATGGTGTGAGGGTCCATGTTCTTAGGTTTTTTCGGTAAAGTGACGTAGGTAAAAAATTTAATTAATAAAATAAAAATAAAATAAAAATCACGACGTTTCGGAGGTAATACAAGCTTCCGTATTCTTAGGTTTTTTCGGTAAAGTCACGTAGGTAAAAATTTAAAATCAATAAAATAAAAATAAAATAAAAATCACGACGTTTCGGAGGCAACACAAGCTTCCGTCTTCAGGTGGATCCGTCACAGCCACGACAGCTGTATCAAGTGAGAGAAATTTCAAGAAAACAATCCTTGTATATATACTGGTTGAGGGTGGGAGGAGCCAAGGTAGGCCCTGGATATTATTTTTGTGAGGTTCGGTGCAGCTGAAGCACGCTTATTTTAGTAGTAGTAGGTTTTTACCCTTTTAAACTGGTACAAAACTGATACCTTTATACAAGGCATCATGTTTAAAGGGTAAAAACCTACTACTCTATTTTGCCACTGATAAAGGAGGTCTCATAGTGTAAACACTTATTTTATTTTACTTTTATTAATTTTAATTTTTTTACCTACGTGACTTCACCGAAAAAAACTAAGAATACGGAAGCTTGTGTTGCCCCCGATACGTCGTTATTTTTATTTTATTTTTATTTTACTTTTATTAATTTTAATTTTTTTACCTACGTGACTTTACCGAACAAAACCTAACAATATGAATCCTTGCAGTCACGAAAGCTTCAAATCTAGAAGGTGTGAGTGTCCGTCGCAATTTTGATGTGAAGCTTTTCGTGACCGCATGAAACCACGCTCGTTGGTTTCCCTCAAGTCACGTGAGTGGAAAGTTAATAGATTAATGGATCACGACGTTTCGATGGCAGCACGAAGCTTTTGTGTCGCGATCGGAACGCGGTGATCAATTGATTTTCTGTCTCCGTGACTTTGCCGAAAGAAGCGGAGAGCGTGGTTTGGTTTGTCGCGTCGACGAAATGCGCCGCTTGGCTACCAGTTCAGCATCGCCGGTGGCGTGTCGGAGAGTAAACCCCGCGAACAACCGCCACAACCACAACAACAACCGCCACCACAACAACAACAACAACCGCCACCACATCAACAACAACAACCGCCACAGCAACAACAACAACAACCGCCACCACCACAGCAACAACAACAACCGCCACAACAACAACCGCCACCACAACAACATCAACAACCGCCACCACCACAACACCAACAACAACCGCCATTACCACAACAACAACAACCGCCACCACCACAACAACAACCGCCACCACAACAACAACAACAACCGCCACCACCACAACACCAACAACAACCGCCACCACCACAACAACAACAACAACCGCCACCACCACAACACCAACAACAACCGCCACCACCACAACAACAACCACCACCACACCAACAACCGCCACAACAACAACAACAGCCACAACAACAACAACAACAGCCACAACAACAACAACCTCCACAACAACAACCGCCACCACAACAACAACCGCCACCACAACAACAACCGCCACCACAACAACAACAACCACCACCACCACAACAACACCCGAATCAGTCGAGCGGCAATATCTTTTCATCGGTTGCGTAACGCTGTGTGGAAGCTACCTGGTCTGTCGCTCCGCACGAAGCTTCAGGTCTTCTCGGCCACGGTCATTCCCTCCCTTCTCTACGCTTGCGAAACGTGGACCCCCCTAATGGAGCATCTTCGCCCGGTTAGAAACATTTAGGCTGGCCTGCCTACGATCAATCCTGGGTTTAACCAGGTAGGATTGTGTGAGGAGCTCACAAATCCTTGAAAGATCTGGGCAAAGTCCCATCGGTGAGCTCCTCCGGCAGGCAAGGCTGCATTGGCTGGGTCATGTGTGAGTAGCTTATAAATACCACCCCCTCGTGTACCGTGCCAGCCTTCATAGGTGCTCGCTAACAGCTAGATTTACTGTATCAAGTGAATCTGGCTGTAACGGTCCCACCTGATGACGGAGACTTGTGTTGCCTCCGAAACGTCGTGATTTAAAATTTTATTTCTATTATTTCCATTATTTTTATTTTATTACTTTTTACATCTACGTGACTTTACCGAAAGAACTAAGAGTATGAATCATTGCAGTCACGAAAGCTTCAAATCTAGAACCACTCGTCATCGTCATCGTTAATTGCCTGAAAACATCTTGCGAACGAAAAGCCATCCTAGTAGCAGCAGCAGCAGGCATCCTCCTGAAAAAGAGTCACATGACTCAGCGTGTCTCGCCTTGATGAATAAGTTAAACATCATGATTATCGTCATCATCATCA